ATTAATAAATAAATCAATTTCTCTCAGCACTTACTGGTTGCTGAGAACCTCCATACATCATGCCTCACACAGAATGAACGCAGGCTTGTAACTTCAGAGCCGGTCATTTAGACTGAGCTTTAACTCAAACACCAAAGAGGTGACCATTTTTACTGAAAATGTGCAACTGTTATCTAGAGCCTTAGAAGTAATCTTCAAAGCCCTGATAAATTCGAGCAGTATCAAAGTCCTTCAGGCTAATTTGTCTCTAAATATCCTGTAGAAAGCTGTTTTCAGAGTCTATAAGTCATTAGGAGGCTTGGTTTTAGGCCTGTTTCAGTCACCCGTGACCTCCCACAACCAACCAGCTTCATTTAGCTTAGCTCTTACCTCAGAAAAAAATGTGGAGACCAGACCTCTTGAACATCAGGTCCTCTGGGACCTTGCAGGTGTCTATGGGTGCATCATAGGAAAGATTCAGTAGAGGACGCCTGAGGAGCTTCTAACTAGAGGACATGTAGAGACCAGATCAAAAGCCCACACTTGGCAGTCAGACTGCCTTCATTCACGTCCTTCCTCCAAGGGCGTTGTGAGTTTAGGCCCACCAGGGACCCGCTCTGAGACTCTATGTCCTCCTAGATCAAATGGAGATGATGTAGTTGTTGTTAACCCCTGAAATTTGAACTTTACCTTAGAAATGCAAACAATGTGACCTAATTATTTATACCTTTATTAATCCGAGATAAAAAAAATAAATGTAAAAAGTAAAAATATATATTTGAAAAATGGAGATGATACCACCCACCTAGGGCTGGGAGGGATGAAGGAGCCAACACATGGAAGGCATTCGGTGCCTTTTTCTTGCAACATTAAAAGGTTAAGGGCAGCGCCTGTGGCTCAGAAGGGTAGGGTGCTGGCCCCATATGCCGGAGGTGGCGGGTTCAAACCCAGCTCCAGCCAGAAACTGCAAAAAAAAAATAAATAAATAAAGTAAAATAAATGTTAAAAGTTTAACTGCTATTGATGAAAGTGTAGAGCCCTAGACGTGCAATCCTGGTCACTTAGATTTTAAGATATTTTATAATTTCAAAAGGATTTTTAATGTTTTATCTCACTGGTAGCCATAGAAATTCTGTGAGGTAGGAACAGAAGTTGCTGCACCTTCGTGTATTTGAAAAAAATTTTAATACAGCGATCAAGTCCGGAGATGTTTTAATCAGTCAATTGGCTAGTAAAGGGTAGAGCAAAATGAACCATCCCATTGGGTGTGCACTTCAAAACAGTGTTGTACATAATGAAAACAGACAGTGTTATTTATCTGTCAGTGTTGTAAACTTGGCAGAGCTAGACTCAAACTCTCGTATTCTGATTTGAAGTCCATGGGGTACGCGTATGTGCGTTTGTCTCATGTCAGTGAAATCCTAAACTGGCATGTTTTCCCTTTGATTTTTATATAATAAAGGTAATACCTGTTTATAAAAATAAGAAAATGCATCTGAGCAGAGAAAGTAATTCTACAAAATTCTTACTGCGACCATTTTGGCACAAGTCCTAGAACATATTTTTATTCCCATGGTTCTGAATTTGAGACTGTTCATTATAAAATAGTTTTTGATGTTCATATGTTGTGGTGATGTTGAATCCGAGAATATCTACCACTTCAGTTAGAAAGCTAGAATTCTGATTTCTTTTTTCTTTCTTTTTTGAGACAGTCTCACTACATCACCCTCAGTAGAGTTCTGTGGCATCACAGCTCACAGCAACCTCAAACTCTTAGGCTTACGTGATTCTCTTGCTTCAGCCTCCCAAGTAGCTGGGACTATGCTCCCACCACAACACCTGGCTATTTTTTTGTTGCAGTTGTCATTGTTGTTTAGCAGGCCTGGGCCGGGTTCGAACTCACCATCCTTTGTGCATGTGGCTGGTCCATAACCACTTTGCTATGGGCACTGAGCCTAGAACTGTTTTCAAAATGCTACTGAAAAAACTGAGCTTTCGACTACTTGTTATAAATGGATAAATAAATGGCAAAATAGCAGGGAAAGAAGCCAGATTGTTCCTTTGTGGTTTTCATCTTTGCCTCCCTAACTACTCTAGTTACGTTGAGTCAAGGAGAGGAGTAACTTCTCACAGATCCCCCGAAAACTGCAAGGACAAGAGTGAGCCCCCCCCCCACTGAAAATGTTTTCAGATTAGGCTCAATCTGATATGTGTGTGTCACTTTTAAAGTTATTAAAAGGAAAGAATGCCAATAGCTTTGGAGGTATTTTCATAAACATCTTAAATAATTTTTTATTATTTTTTTCACAACGCATTAGGAGATAGAAAACCGGGCTCTGATCCTTAAGATTCGTATTCTACAGGAAGAGGTATGTTGAAATCATTAAACACTGGGGTAGACAAACACAGATGTCATTTGATCATGGGGTATAACTGTGGATTAAATAAAAAGCATGCAAATACAGGGCAGACATAAAGTTCATATGCAATTGACTATGTTAAACTATTTAAAATTGCACATGAACTTTATGTCCACTCTGGGTCTAGGGTCCTGTGGTCCAAAGAGCAGGCTGATTTGTCCAATTACAAATGAGGGAGGAGGGGATAGGATTTTGTTTTCCTTTTATTAAGTTGTGTCTGGGCAGAGGTGCCTTATTACTTTTGAAATTACCCATGGAAAAGGCGGCATTGAAGAAATTCAGATTTAGAATAAAATGTACTTATTCCATCCAAAAAATTTTCGAATCACAAAAGACAGCATAAATGTGATCTAATGATTTTCCATTATTATTTCATGGAATGAGGTGGCAAAAGTCTTGAGTCTAAAATTCATACCTTCAATACACTGTGAAAGCATGACCTTGGACAAGCAGTTTGGTTTTTTGGGGACAGTAACACTTATTTTATATAGTTATTTTGAAGATTAACATAATTCATGTGAAGCTTTTTGATAAACAATAACATACCTTATAAATGTTAGAAAATGTTGGCTCAGCACCTGCAGCTCAGCAGCTAGGATGCCAGCCACATACACGGGGGCTGGGAGATTCAAACCGGCCTGGGCCTGCCAAACAACAATGACAACTACAAGGATAAAAAAAAATAGATGGGTGTTTTGGAGGGCACCTGTAGTCCCAGCTATGTGGGAAGCTGAAGCAAGAGAATCACTTAACCCAAGAGTTTGAGGTTGCTGTGAGCTGTGATGCCACAGGGCGACATAGTGAAACTCTGTCACATACACAAAAAGAAAATGTTAGTATAATCTCTCTAAAAAAAAAAAAAAAGAAAGAAAGAAATACTTCTTTGCAATATATTTTTTCAAGCAACAGAAAGCATTGAAAGAACAGGTCACAAAGAAAATTTACAAAAAGTAAGTTACTATACTGAAGCAAAATTCCCTGTAGATATCCTTTGAACATCAAGTATTACACAAGTTTTAAATTTTGGCTTTATAGTAAATATAAGACTATTGGAAGTATATATTAAGCGGTGCTGAACAATCTGGAGAGTTATTCAAACTGCAGGCCAAGTGGATATTCAAAATATTTCATAGAGGATTGGAAAGGAACAATTAAAGATTGGGCAGAGGCCTGGATTCCATTCAGACACGTGACAGCGGCAGTGCCGGTTTTTGTGAAACTCGTGCCTTATAATTAAACTCCTAATGTAAGATATTTTTCTCTTCGTATTTAAATGAGTGAAAAACATCAAAGAGTGGTCCCAAACCAGTTGGGAAGAGATGGAAGGAAGATTTAAAACCCTTCCTTATGCGATGGCAATGCAATGATTGGTTTACAGTAGAAAACGCACCTGAGTGTTGCTGCTGAGATTCTTCTGCGGAGGAAATATCTGGTGCGTTGTGAAGAGACACAGCACGACAGTTTGGGGAGAGATTCACGTTCCTTCGTTTGTTCAACACGTATTCACTGAAGACCTCTGAGCAGGTGCCGCTCGGCGTGCTGAGTACACGAGCTCACGCAAAACAGCCCACGTGGAACTAGTGGGTTCGGTTGCATAAGGGCTACGGGGAAAGAGAGACAGAGAACAGAATGGGGGGTAGGGGGTGCAGTGTGAGGTAGGGTGGCGAGGAAAGCAGCCCTGTGAAGCTCATTCTTTGATTATAAACTGGAAAGGAGTTTTATCTGTGAAAGAGGCCCCCCCACACCCCGCCCCGGGCAAAAGAAATAGCCAGCTCAAGGTTGTAAGGCTGCCGGCCACCTGCTATTTTGGAGGGACTGCAAGGCCGGTCACTGTGTCTGGAGCAGAGTCAACAAGTTAGCAAGAGGTGAGGGCCCAGAGCTGCATGGCTCTGATGCAGGCTTTTTTTCTTCCCTCACGAAGTGAGATAGGAGCCATGGAAGGGTTCTGAGCAGAGAAGTCATATGATCTAATTTCTGGTTTAACAAGATAAGTCTGGCCGCTGGGTCTAGAATCCGTTGTGATGGATTCAATAAAAAGCTGATGGGGACTCGGACTGAACAGTCACAGTGGAGGGGGACAGAAATGTTTGGAAATACTTTATAATATATCCAAAGATATTTATTATATATTCAGGTAATCTGGAAACCCTCTTCTGATTGTCGTGTCTCAGTGAAACACAAAACAATGTTATCCGCTGAGAGCGAGGATGTCGGAAGAGGTATTGGAAATAGGAGGAAAGAAAAAGGAAGGTCTGGTCTGGGAGTGGGGAAACTTTTGTAAAGTACCCATCTAAATATTTTATTATTAGTAGTTA